GAGGTAATCAAGAGACCACTGGCTGACACATGAGGTGGTCCCGGGAAATCAGAGGCTCCTCACCCCCTCCCCTGTCCTTAGAATGTATGTTTTGCCAACTATTCCTACAAGTGGAGCCATTTTCAAGAATGCAGCCTTGGAGAGCAACGTGCTGTTGAGACGATCGGTCAGTATACATGACTGAACCCAGTTCAGGCCTCTATAGAAACTTTTAAGATTCCTGCAGGCAGGTGAGGAGATTTACTCATCTTGCAGCTGTCCAAGACAAGCCTCATATGTAAGTTCCCTTGCTTATTAAGACTGCCACCTACCAATCTGGAGAGGTCTTCCTCTCTATCCTTACCTTCTGTGTACAAGGGCCAGTTTTGTGAATCAACAAAGTAAGATGACAAAGTAAAAGCTTTTGAAATGTATTCCCAAAAATATTTCCTTTAAAGATTTTTAGTGGCATGCCCAATAGGTTTTTGTTCTGATTCCTAAATGTAGTTCTGTTTTCCTTTTATTCCAGTTTAGTACAGATGATGGTTCCCATTATGTTCCTTTGAGAGCTATGAAAAGGTTGACTATACACATTGTGATCAGCAGACACTGGGGCAACACTAAGGAGGAGGTGGCATATTTTTCAAGAAGTAAGGACACTTGGTGGTAGAGGTTCTGGGAAGAGGTGGCAGCAGTGGCTATATAGTTTTTCAATCTCTCCAAACACAGAAAAACAGAGCAACCAGAGAGCAAAAGCAAAATGTGTAGATAAGATTTTCAGCAAATCTAGGTTACTAGGGATGCCTGGGTGGCTCAGTGGGTTAAGCTCCTGCCTTCGGCTCAGGTCACGATCCCAGGGTTGTGGGATCGAGTCCCACATCAGGCTCCTTGCTCAGCGCAGAGCCTGCTTCTCCCTCTGCCTGCCACTCCCCCTGCTTGTGCTCTCGCTCTCTCTGACAAATAAATAAAATCTTTAAAAAAATCTAGGTTACAAGACATCCCTTAAAACCCCAAAATTCAAGTAGATGAGGACAAGTCACCAACATTCCTATTACCTAATGGTACCAGTGTCTGTGCAGGAAGAGAAAGAAGTGATGGAATAGCATCTGAGTAACTGGATAATAGAACCACAAACTAACCAAGTCACCAGAAAGAGCAGCAGAGACTCACAGGGTTTTTGCCCTTTTCATATCACATGAGTGCAAGGGGCCCAGCTCAAGAGGCACTAAAGGTGGGGCGCCTGGGTGGCTCAATTAGTAAAGCATCTGTCTTTGGTCAGGTCATGATCCCTTGTCAGCGTCCCTGCCCAGCGGGGAGCCTGCTTCTCCCTCTCTTCCCTGCTTGTGCTCTATGTCTGCCTATCTCTCGCTCTCAAGTACATAAAATCTTCTAAAAAAAAAAAAAAGAGGCACTAAAGGTGCTAGAAGCATGTGAACTCTCAAAACTGACACCTCAGGACTCTCTTGACAGGAACCCACAATTATGAGAAATGGGAGATGGAATCACAATTCAATTGGAAATGAACAAGAGAGACTAAGGAAATGAGGTTTAAAATTGTTCTGTACACAGATGTCCACACTTGTGGCTATTTTGAGCACTTGAAATGTGGCTAGTCAGAACTGAGATATACTGAAAGTGTAAATTACATACCAGCTTTTGAAGATTTAGTAAGAAAATAAAATCTCAATAATTTTTATATTGATTACATGTTGAAATAATATTTTGGATAGATGGAATTAAGTAAATTATTAATGTCATATGTTTCTTCATATATTTTTTATTTCGCTAGTAGAAAATGGTAAATTACACGTATGGCTAGCATTCTATTTCTACCTGACAGAACTCCCTATTACTGAAGTTTGATATGCCTTTCACACATCTCAAATGGAAAAGTCAATTAGGTAGCTGGATACACATGACTGAAGTACAAGGGAATAGGTGGGAATATACAATATTTTGATTTACCAGCTTAAAACAATATTTAAAGACATAAGACTAGATGGGATCTCCTAGGAAGTAAATGTATATAGGAAAAAAAGGCAAGAAACTGAGGCCTTGGATATTCTAATACTTAGAGGTGTGGAAAATGAGAAAAGTCTAGGAGAAAGTGGGGTGAACACAAAGAGAACAGTCTTTAAAGATGAAGGAAGAACATGTATCAAAGAAAAGGGAGTGATCAATAGTGTCAAATGGTGCAAAAGGTCAAGTAATAGGAAATCTAAGAATTATCCTTTACCAGGTCCCTGGGTGGCTCAGTTGGTTAAGCATTCGTCTTTGGTTCAGATCGTGATCTCAGGGTCCTGGGATCGATTCCCACACCGATCCCCGCACCAATCTCCGTGCCAATCCCCACCAACACGATGATCCCCGAGGCTTCTCCCTGTCCCTCTGATCTCCCCCACCCCCCCGATACCCCCCATGTGCGCATGCGCTCTCTCCCGCAAATCAATAAAGTCTTTTAAAGATTTATCCTTTACATTCTGCAGTATGGAGGTCTACTGTGTGACGGCATTTGGTACTTCCATAAAGAGGGAGTTATTAGGAAGACCTCTAGACTCCAGGACACAAACTGAAGGTTTCAGAAGGGAGAGTGGTGGGGGGATGGGGTAACCGGGTGATGGGTATTAAGGAAGGCATGTGCTATGATGAGCACTGGGTGTTATACCAACTAATGAATTATTGAACACGACATCAAAAACTAATGATGTATTATATGTTGGCTAACTGAACTTAATAAAAAAAATAAAAATAAAGTTCATTTAAAATCCAAAATAAATAAATAAATAAGGACCAAATGTTAAGAGAAGGAAGAAGAGTCCGTGGTCAATAGGGGCTATACAGATTTTGTATGGTGGGCTTGGGCTAAGGACATTGGATTAAGGTCCACTCCCAAGCATATCATATGTCCAGATATCTACTAAAACACTAGCATGCAGTATGGTAGTGGCATCTCTGATTCAGCCCACTGAATGCTGGCTCACTGTAGGAAGGAATCAGACCTAGTACCTGAACTAATGCTACCTCCAATATCTGAAATAGGGGATGTTTTCTGGTCAGAGCCACCACCAGGGACAAGGTATGGCTTCCTAGATATATATCCTTGGGTGTCTCTAATTCTCTGGGGCTGGTCTAGAGAGAATTATATATACAAGCCAGTCACTAACATTTGCAGTGGCTGAAGTACAAATTAAGACCTTTGACCCATGTCCTTAATCTCTTCCCATTGCCAGGTATTTCTTATGCCAAGAGGTGTCTTACACCCAAACCTGAGAACACCTCGGCCTATAACATCAAGCTTTGTACATCCTTTGCTTTTACAAAGTGGCCTCCTGGCAATATTTTGGGCCTAAGAGTATGTATTCCACAGGCCCAGACCTCCCTTCCTTAGGAGGGACATTGAGAATAGGGCCTTACAGAATCTAGAAGCAGCCTTGGGGAATGAGGGAACCTAAAATATTTTCTACAGGGGCACCTGGGTGGCTCAGTCAGTTAAGCATCTGCCTTCATGATCCCAGGGTCCTGGTATAGAGCCCTGCATCAGGCTCCCTGCTCATCTGGGAACCTGCTTCTCCCCCTGCCCCTCACCCTGCTTGTGCTTTCTCTAATAAAATATTTAAAAAATATTTTCTACAAAAATTGCAGGGTGTTGGGACCTGGTGGGCACGTACCATTGTCCCTGTGGACTCCTAGCTCTGTAGTCTGAATATAGACTAGGCAGAAACTTCTAAAATGTTGGACCCAGGAGGAAGGCCCTTCCTGACCAAGTCTATGACAGAATTGGCCATATACCAGAAAATCAAAGAGATGAGAAATATGGCAAAGTAGGGAGAGGGAGATCCTTTTACTGGTTTGGTTTATTTTTTTCATTCCATTCCTTTACTGTGTTCTCCCACTGTGTTTCCACAACTTCCTAAAAAACAGCTGAGTTTCATTATGGAAGTGTAAAGTGTAGCACATAAAAGATCATATCAATTATTCCCAAAAATGAATACTGTTCACAGAATGGTGGTGCATGTCCATCCAGTTCTCTCCAAATATGTCTGTACACACCCACACACTCATACCTGCTCACAAATTTAGTCACATTTTTTTAAATGAGATTATCCATTAACACATTTTTTTCAATAAATATCTGACCATTTTCATATCATTAACCTTGAATCATCCTCCCAGACCTTCCTTTCCCCCACACAGACCTCAGGAGTCCCCTTTCCCAACACACAAATTTTTTCCTCCTCTAGAAACTGAGACCTTTTCCCTTGGTACTCCTGACTCATGCTGTTCTCTTCCTTCCTGAGATTTCCTCCCAGCACTCCCTACTTCCATCTGGGAAGTATTCCCCCCCCCCCCCACACACACACTCATGTCCTCTTTCCTGACCCTGAGTATCTCCTTCACCCCTCCTTGGGCTGAACCCTGCTCCCTTTTCTTGTCTAAATTTGCAAATCACCTATGGTAAGAGGGTATATACCATTATAAATGGGAATTTCCTGGACAAAATTCCATTTTAAATAGTAGAAATAAATGATTGAAGGAATAGTATTTTATTCCCTCTCTCTTCCAAAGAACTCAGCTAGCACACTAACAACTTTCTTTAATCCTCTAAAATCGGAGGTAGGATTAAGTTTTTTGGACAATAAAAAAAACCACTACATCTTAGAAATGAAGTTAACATTTTTATTTTATTCATTCAAAAATTTCATTATACAAAGGTAACATGGAAAAGAGAAATCTCAACTCAGGGGCAAAGGCAGGCCCTTTTCAGGAAAACGTGGGCCTAGAATCAGGGGCCAATAGCAAATAAGTGCTAGGTGGTACAATTATGGGAAATAGAGACTTTAAAACTGCCTTTCCAAACAACAGCATCAAAATTTCTCATTGTGCTGGTTAATAGCTAGAACACTTGTAAACCTCACAGGTTAACTGCAGAGCAGGCACCCCCTTCAAGGTCAGTGGGTGCATGCTAATTCACCCCCCCCCACTGAACTGAAGGGGGTACCTACTAATTCCTTTTGCAGTTGTCACACCACTGGAGGTGTAGGGGAGGAAGGCATGCTCCCTGTTTCATCCTCCTCTCCTGGAGAAAGAGGGCTCAGGGCATCAAGCTCTGGCAGCAAGGCACGCCTCAGGCTTGCAGGACTAGGAGTGGAGATGGAGCCCAAGCCAGTAAACTTAGGGGAAGAGGTGCTATGGCGAGAAAAATTAGTGGAGGAGGAGCAGGAAGAAGAAGAAGAGGAGGAAGAGGAGGAGGAGGAGGAAGAGGAGGGGCTCTGGCCAGGAGACCCGGAGGAGGAGGTAGAAGAGGAAGAGGAGGAGCTCTCACCATACAGCGCAGGGAAAGGAAGGAGCCTACCAGGAGGTGAGGGAGAGGAGGCACGCATACGGACTGCATGCCAACGAGGCTGGGCACCAAGGCTTGGGACCTCAGGATTAGGAGAGCTTGAGTTGCTCTGCCACACCAGCCTTCGTAAGGCTACCCCAGGGGAAGGAGGAGGACTCGGGCCAGTAGGCACAGGCAGACAGGCGCGGCTTCTAGGGAATGACCTCTGGATGGTGCGGCCCCGGAAGACAAAACCTGGAGTCGGGCAGCCGTTGCGGAGGGCAGGGCCTACCGGGTTGGCTCGGCTTCGGAGGGCAGGGCCTGACCCGGATGCACGGTTGCGGAGAGCAGGGCCTGGTGGGCTGGCGTGATTACTGAGGGCAGAGCTTGGCCCAGATGCACGGCTACTGGAAGCACGGTTGCGGTAAGCTGGACCCGGTGCGGATGCACGGCTGCGGCGAGCTGGGCCCGGCGAGGAAGAACGGCGGCTGCGGAGAGCTGGGCCCCGCGCGGAAACACGGCCGCGGCTGCGGCGAGCTGAGCCCAGCGAGGAAGAACGGCGGCGGCTGCGGAGAGCTGGGCCCGGCGCGGAAGCACGGCCGCGGCTGCGGCGAGCTGAGCCCAGCGAGGAAGAACGGCGGCGGCTGCGGAGAGCTGGGCCCGACGCGGAAGCACGGCCGCGGCTGCGGCGAGCTGGGCCTGGCGCGGGAGCACGGTCGCGGCTG